GCAAATTTAGTTTACATGGCACAGCCTTTCCTTCTCCCCAATTGCCAACTATGCTATTTCCATAGCAAGGTTGGTAAAGTATTTCCTTAACAGATCTATCTGAACCATACACAAAAAAGAACTAACTAAGCTCTCTACTTCAGGTAGATCCTCTGTCTTCAGCAGGGATTCTTCTTTTATGCTCTTCCTAGTCTAATACTTGATTGTTCATATCTCATGTTTGTCAGGTATTTATTAGTGGATGGCCTGAAGTAGCACCGTCTTCTGCCACATGTCATGAAGTATTCTTGTGTCCTGCATTGAATGAGTCTGTGGTTTCTCACATTAGATTTACATTGGGAAAATAAACTCCCAGTATCCAGAATAACTAAAAACTTTTCTGTCTTTCCCTCCCCCCCCTCAAATCTGCCTATCTAAGGAATTTGTGATTCTAATAACCCTCATTTTATGGCCTTTTTTGGCTCCCAATTCTTTTGCTACAATGTCACTAGATACCAGGGTTAGAATTAGGGCAAGCAATGTGGGTTGTTTTCTATCAAATTAGCTTCATCTTCCCCGAATCTTTTTTATTTCATTGGCCTGTGACCCATTTTTTTTCTTTGATATTTTCTACATTTGTTTCACTGATACTCTCATCCAAATTAAATTGTTTTGCTTCCTCTGTCACAACATTGACTATCTTTGGTCTGGCTGCTTAAAATTCACCGAAAACTTTTCTGCTTCAGAATTACTGTTGGGAAAAAAAAATACTTCTGGGTCAGCAATATGCTAGAAGATTATCATACTTAAAAGATCCAAATGCAAGAGAAAAACAGTTATCTCAGTAGGATCATTGTCGGGAGAAGGGCTTCCCCTATTGTTACTCTCTCTTCAGTTTCTTTTTAATCTGTCTATCCTTTAGCCCATTGGGAATCTCTAATCTTGTAAGAAAAATCCAGTTCCTTTCTATAATGAGGGCTTTAAGTGTAAAGAAGGTTTCCCAAGACAAAATCCAGCTGTGTGGGCTCCTTTTGTGCAAAAATGGAACACAAATTTGACACTGTTCTCAGTGACAACTGAGAAAAATGCTGGCAGGTTTCTCTTTCGCATATATGACAGCACAGCTACATCAGTTTAATTGACCTTAGCAATCTACATCTGTCTGTGGTATGTCCCCAAGAAATGAAAGAGAGGGAGGGAGGAAGGGAGGGAGAGAAAGAGAGAGAAAGAGATATATTTTGGAACTAGAAAAACAAACAGCAAAACTGGGCACCATTTTTTTTCGCTTCAAGATACGGCAACCCAATCCTTGGTAATTCTTCAACATATGGTAACACAGTCCTGTCATAAAAAACACTATATTTAGGAGCTGTACAAAGGAGCTATTTTAAAACTCAGTCCTATACAATCTCAGATTATTAATCTATAACCTTTTAGGCCAGAGGTGATTTTAATCTGAGATTAAAATTATTTTTTTCATAAAAAGACAAGAGGAAAAAAGCCCTGTCAACTACACCTTTATGTCCTGCTTCTTTCTTTCTTTTACTATAACCATGGATTATTTATTACATTTGTTGACTCTTTTGTTAGTTCTAAAGGGCAAAATGCAAGGGATCCCACACACCTTCCACTCCCAGAGCTTTCCTGTGAGGTAATTTGAGGGAATAGCTGAACCAAGCTACTGAGAGAATGTCTTGTCTGCCCATCTATCTATTTATCTACCCATTAATTTTCCACCTTTATTATTTTTAGAAATAACTCAGTGTGGCCAATACACACAATACTCCTTCCTCCTCATTTTCCCCACAACAACAACCCTGTGGGGTAGATTGAGCTGAGAGAGGGTGACTGGCCCAGAGTCACCAAGTCATGGCAGAAGGAGGTTTGAAACTGATATCTGACTAGGTTACTTAAAAATAAGACTGATTCCATACAAAGTCACTATAATAGGTTATGATAAGAATGAGATGAGACCAACTTGCCCTTTGAATAGTTCAGATAGTCCTAATTTTTAAAATAGGCACAACAGAAAGAGAAATGAGATCCAGAATTTCCAGGCAATTCATATTTCCAGCCTCTGCAGGTCCAACAAAGGAAAAACAAGCATCTTTTCTTGGCCTTCTGGAAGGCGCTTAAAGCATGGCTTCGTGGCTTGGGGATCCCTTAAGAGAGTTGAGTCTGTTTGATGGTTACATGATAGTTAACTGGAATGCATTCTGCATGGGGGTTTTTCATCATTTTTTAAATGTTTTAATTTATTTTGGTGTATTTTTAATTGGCTTGTATGTAATTGGATCATTTGATAATGTCCTCTGCCCAGAGCCACATTATGAGATGAATAGCTTTATAAATGTGATAAAATAAATAGAGCCAGTTTGATGTAATGACTAAGGCACTAGGCTAGGAACCAGGAGATCGTGAACTGTACTCCTGTCTTAAGCATGAATCCCTCACTCTCAGCCCTAAGAAGAATGGCCAACCACTTCTGTAATCTTGCCAAGAAAATGGCAGGGATTTATCCAGGCAGCTTCTAGGAGTCAACACTAACTTGAAAAGCAAACATGCAAAAATAAATTGTTTAGAAAGTTAGTATCTCAGGAAGATGTATTTCTTGACCTACTTTTTTTTTTCCTGAGCTGCTAATTAATGCAGATATTTTAAAAAAAAAATAAAAGGCAAATGTGCAGAATAGCATTTTATTATAGGATTCCTTTACTTACAGCTTTACATGGTATATAGTCCAGAGACAGTTTTTATAGATGGCATTTGGATCCTCAAAAGCTGTCCTGTATGTATCCTAATTTACAGCCCAAATGTTGGAGATGTGGAAGCTTAGATGCAACTTATTTTCATATTTGGTGGATTTGTAGAAATATAAAAGCTTTTTGGATTAAGATTTGGTGGAACATTCAAAAGATTTTTAAGAGAAAGATAAAGTTTACACCACAATTATTTTTGTTAGGTGTTATTGTAGATTTTGATGTTAAAGAAATTAATTTTATAACAGCTGCAAGATTATTGGTGGGGCAATATTGGAAGAAAGATTCTTTGCCTACTATGGAAGAATGGATACTCAAGGTGTCTAATTTAGCAGAAATGGCAAAAATTTCTGCTTATTTGAAGGACTATTCACAAGAAAGATATATCTCGGTTTGGAGAAGATGAATAGATTATATTCAGAATAAATATGAGACTAAAAAGTATTATCTAGCTTATGAGTAAATTTTAGATTATTATTAATAGTTTAATATGGTAGAATTTATATTAGTTTTAGTTTTATGGTTTAATTATATTATTATTTTTGTATTTAATTTGTTAATATTTATTTTGAAAAAGAGTTAAAGTATGTTATGGATTTGATTGTTTGTATAGTTGGGTAATGTTAGTTAGATTATGATTGTTTATTTGTAACCCTGTAATCAGCTCTGGGAGTGGGGGAGGGGGGGAGGGATTTGGGATATATATTGTATAAAATTTTTAAAACTTTTAAGAAAGAAAGAAAGAAAGAAAATGGCAGGGATTTATCCAGGCAGCTTCTAGGAGTCAACACTAACTTGAAAAGCAAACATGCAAAAATAAATTGTTTAGAAAGTTAGTATCTCAGGAAGATGTATTTCTTGATCTACTTTTTTTTCCTGAGCTGCTAATTAATGCAGATTTTTTTAAAAAAATAAATAAAAATAAAAGGCAAATGTGCAGAATAGCATTTTATTATATGATTCCTTTACTTACAGCTTTACATGGTATAGTCCATAGCATCTCATCTGCTGTTTATGAAAACTAAGCTATAGCCTACATCATGCTTGATTGATTGCTATGGCAACTTTCTTTTTGCTACATCTTATATCAGGAACACACAAGTACTGAGCGAAGAAAACAAAAAATTAGCATTCGTCTCATGCTTGGGCATTGCCTATATTTTCTACTGGATTATCTGAAATTGGGGGTGAGAGGAAGGAGAGCTAGCATCCAGTTATTAATTTTGCATAGTTAATGTTTTGAAAGCAAACACAGCCCATATTGTATCTACATTTTCATCCATATGTATATAAGATCACTTAATCCAAACCAGATGGAGGGTTTTCAAATTCAGAAGATTTAAATGTGAAGTGCAGTAAGTCAAAGTAAATCATTTTCTTCTCCCTGAAAGCATCAGGTGCACAACTGGGTATAAACAACTTCAGCTGCCATATTTTGCTTACCTTACTTCAACATTGACCTAAAAGTTTTAATATTGAGAAAGCTTCATTGGAAGACTTTCTTAGGTTTTCTTTAGATTCTTATGTACTGAAACAGTACGGCTAAGAGTATTAACACCCAGGAACTATAGATTTTTGAGACCATGTAATGTCCATATTGACGATTCGGATATGCAGCTAGAGAATTTAGATTCCTAAACTCTAACATACATGGATGCTGCAACTCATGATTACATTACAGTTTGCAAGAAGCCTTTCTTATTGTCACAGCTGCTGAAAAGTAGACTGATTCTAGTAAAGCAGATGGCAGTAATTATGAGAATCTTATGAAGCCAATTCTAAACTCAAGAAGTATCTCTAAAGCAGGGAGTAGGCAACCTTGGCTCTTTTATGACTCGTGGACTTCAACTCCCAGAATTCCTTAGCCAGCCAAGCTGGGAATTGAAGTCCACGAGTCATAAAAGAGCCAAGGTTGCCTACCCCTGCTAAAGTAACACCCTTGTCTATAATTGAAATAGATACAGTAGGAGACCAACTTTTAAGAATTATAAAAGAGTAGGATAGCCCACACTTTCATAGAAGAACAATGGGAATGAAAATTATTACATATCTTTGTTCCCTTATGTGAAAGCTGTGGAATATAATCATCTAATCTATACTAACTCTCTAAACTAAGTTGTCCCAGACTTAAAGCCTGGATATTGTCTTGCAAGCCTGACAGTCCCTGATAAAATGCATCACTCAAGGATTGGGTTGTTTTGGAATTTTTTTTTTTTTTTTTTTTGGTTTTAAATCTCTTTCTTCGTTTTCCTTTCATTACAGTAAAAGAAGCTCTGTATCCTCTCAAGTTTAATCGTTGGGGTCTCCCTGAAGTTGATGGGGAGACCATGCAGACAAGTGAACCAGGGATTTTTGCAGGTGGTGACATCGGTGGGCTGGCCAATACTACGGTTGAATCAGTGAATGATGGAAAACAAGCTTCCTGGTTCATGCACAAATACATACAGGTGAGTTTTGAGTGGAGTTTTCTCTGATTTTATCCATTTAATTCAGATCCATATTTAATTTTTAATTTAGTAGAGTGTGTAATTAAAGATTGGCTAAATATAATCAAGTCTAAGATTACATTGCAAGTAGTGTACAAGTTCAACAGAAAAAAATATTATTTGAAAAGTCAGATATTTAAATATGAGAACTTAAAGCATTGCTAAACTAAAAATAAATTTATTGGTTGTATATGTTTCTGCTTGCCTACATGGTAGAGGCAAGTGCTCTAATTTTTTTTTTCACTTAACCAATGAGGTTTACTTTTACATATCAAGTCTACCTTCCTACCCAAATCCTGCATAACATACATATAAAAATTAGAGTAGAGCAGGCACTGTAGCTTATATGTGCCCTTCAATCCTACTCTCAAGGTACATGATGCTCTTTCTAATGTGTGGGTTTGTAATTCTTTCTCAATTTCTTTTTCCACCTTTCTGGAGAAATGTAGTACTTTAGCTAGACTTCTTTCCATAATGGGAAGCATGGATGATATGGTAATAATAATGGTAGAAAATTAAACTCTGTAGGGTCACCTCCTGCCCCATTCCTGTAGGTTATGTGACCAACAACATTACCTGCTAAGGAGATGGAAATAAAAGGAATTCTCTTCCAATTTCAATATAACTTCTACTAATCATAAGAAAAAGAAAAGCTTTCTTTTAACTTGCATAGCCAAATGCCCAAACAATTTTAATTAGATGGAATAGCCATTTCGCACTGATAAAAATGCAACCAGCATCCCAGACACTTGCTTCCCATAAAATATTATGGGGAGATTGGACCCAAATCCAGAGCATACAATCTGAGGTTCAAAAAAACTTAAGATGATGCAAAATTTGCAGGACTTGAATTAGTACAAAAGTCTGCAAAATGTGATGCAAGAAAGAGAGGCAAATTTCTTAAAATAATTAGCAAACACATACAGAATATCAGAGACCATGCAGTAGACAACATATGTTAAAGTGGAGAATCAGATTACAATTTTTACTTTTTTAATTTTATCTTAGAGAAGGAGTAAGATTTTTCTCATTTTTTTCAGCTATCTAGTCCTGACTAGCACCTGATTCCTGTAGTTCGTAATCTTCAATCCCAATTTTAGGAGCATTTCTTCACTTCTGTTGGGTTACCATAAGGTAACCCTCTAGATCAGGGCTTCAGACTTGGCCCTTTTATGACTTGTGGACTTCAACTCCCAGAATTCCTCAGCCAGGCACGTTGGCTGAGGAATTATGGGAGTTGAAGTCCAAAAGTCATAAAAGGGCCAAGTTTGAAGACCCCTGCTCTAAATTTCTGGCAAATGGTTCCATAACCTTCCTCATCTTTAGAACCAGAAGAAGTCAGTTCTACTCCTGGCATAGTTCTTTCCATTTGAGCTTGGCTTGGCTTTTTTTTCACCAAAACCATGCAGCTTTCTCCAGCATAGATAGTCCTTGATTCATGACCATAATTGCCTCCCTTACTAAGCAAATAATCACAGTCGTTAAATGAGACATATGGTTATTAAGTAAATCAAACTCCTCTATTGACTTTGTTTCTAGTAAGCCAGATGGGAAGGTCTTAAATGGTGGTCACATGGCCCTGGGACACCGAAACTGTCCTAAATAAATGCTGGTTGCCAAGTGTATGAATTTTGATCATGTAACTGTGGGGATGCCACAGAGGTTGTAAGTGTGAGGACTGGTTATAAATCACTTTTTTTCATTGCTGTTGTAATTTCAGATAATAAGTAAAAGTAGTTGTAGGTCAGGGACTATCAGTATCCATCTTGCTTACATTGTTTCTCACTCTCTCCTAGCAGTTCTTTCTTTTTGAACCCTTCCCTGATGATCTGTTTCTTTTCATTAAGCACAGAGTCATAGACCTTAGTGATCTTCTAATCCAAACTCCTGCCTGAGGTGGAAGACCTTATACAATTTATTTATTTATTTTTTAATCTCCAGCAACGGAACACCCACAACTCTGGGAGGCAAGCTGTTTCACTGATGAATTGTTCTCACTGTCTGGATTTTTTTTCCCCCTTAGTTCCAGTTGTATTTCCCTCTGATGAGCTTCTACCCATTGCTACTGGACCTGCCTCAGACGCTTTGGAAAATAAGTCAACCCCCTTTTTTCTATGAGAGCCCTCAAGTACCAGAAGACAGTTGTCATGTTGTTGCTAGCAGTCATGATACAGTTTAGCCTCCAGACTTTTATCACCTTTGTTGTTCTTCTCTGTACTTTTTTTAAGGGCCTCATCATCTTTTTGTAACTTGGTGATTATATCTCCCAGTTATCTCCTTTCCCTTAGTCTCAAGAAAAATGTCTGTGTGTGCACACACGCATACACACAATAATTACCTGACAAATCTCCTCCTGGATAGGCTTAGGAAAAACTCTTTACTTCATCCCTTTCTGAGGTTAGAATTTCAAAAATGCCAAAGCTGTTGTTCTTTGTAGCCCCCCCCCCCAAAAAAAGATCATGTAGGTCATGTTCAATATACATTACAATATACAGTATATGTTATTATGGATTCTTCCAACTCCATGCTTAGACATGAGGCATATCTATATTGGTGATGTGAGAGAATGTTGGGAAAGGAATGAATATAATAGCAATGGCTGGGTTAGTTACAGCCTCTCAGCCCATGTGGCTAGAAATCTGGGGAAAGTATCTCAAAATATTCAGAGAGGCTTCTTCACTTTAATTAATTCACTGTAAACATTTCTATTATCATGTCCATGGTTTTTATTTGCTCCAACTGAGCCTTATTGAAATATGTGTATTTTTTGCTTTCTTGGTCTTGCCCACCTCTGTGGGGCTTGACCGATGTTTAGTTGAATGTGAAAACAAGACGGTTTGCCCATTCATTACAACATCTTATTTGGGTAATTAGTGGTAGGATGACAGCTTACATATATTAATACAGAGCAGCATTGAACATATCATTTTTTTTTTGAAAAAAAAATCCTTAGCATTATCTTCTGGAACAGAAATTATTATGTATGGGATGTTATCACACCAGGAGTTTCTAAAATCCATAAAATATAAAACATAGGCACCTGAAAAGAGAATCCTGTCTATTTGTCAGATACATCTGACAGTCACACAAGAGATCAACAGGAGTTAGGCTGGAGAGCCTTGCAGAAAAAAGGAACACACTCAAGCAGATTCTACTGACTGCTTTTGAAAGGCTCATACATTCTGCCCTTTGATTTCACAAACTGACACTCAGGGACAATCCTTGTTTTAAAATTGCTTGTGACTTCTTCTTCTTCTTCTTCTTTTTTTTTTTTGAAACCATGGCCAAATAGGAGTATTAATTCTTTTGATCAACTTATTAACAACCAAATTTTTAAATCATCTGAATGAATGCAAATAAAATTTAGATTATTTAAAGTTGCAAAATGGGAAAATATTCAATTAAACGTCTTTTGATTATACAGTTTGGTCCAGATATATTAAGGGTGTTTATTGCTCTGAAATTATTGTCAATATTGAGATATTGAAATTTGGATGATTCTAAGTCTATACTCTTAAATTATGTTTTTCTAAAAAAAAAATAATTAAGATTTATTACTAGGTATTCATTATTTTATAATAAAAAGTTGGAGTATGCCATATTGGTTAATAAATGGCTTAGGGATTTAAAGAATATCTCTATGATCTTAAGATTAAGAAAATATTTTTGGCATGTTTATTTTAATTTTTTGTGCCCCTTTTGCAAAGATGGCCTGGTAATACATGCAAGGAGTGGTGCAAGGGAAATGTTAACATTTATCTGCACTATTTTCAGAGGCATATGATTATAGATTGTAGTGGCAAATATATAGTTAGAGCTGTACAGTTCCTTAAATAATGTTAGCACCAGGCTTTTCTCCTTGTCAAGTATTAGTGCAATATAAGTCGTAGAAGGGAAAAATGAGAGGAGCAGAGCCTATGATGTGATGGAAAAAAATGGAGCCATACTGAAAACTGAGCAACATGGATAAGGGTAGTTTGGTGTGTGTAAGAGGGTGTGGGCGAATGATTTCCATTTGTAAAAAAAAAAAAAAAACAAGGACAAAAGAGAAAATCAAGTGAAATAATTTATCTGAGTTCAAAATGATTCAAACGGTAAAAATGAATAGGAAACAGAAACAAAAAGAAAATGAAAAAGAAGTTTTAAGAGTACTTCCGATATTTGGAAACTTTATAGCTGCTGCAACTAAAAATTATAACAAACTATGAAAAAGTTCATAAAGCAAATGTTAACATTTCTTAGATATATACCTCTTGCCACTAGTCTATGGATAGATAAATGTTGCTTCAATTTGAGCTCAGGTTTCAGTAACTATGACAGTATCCTTATAGTTTTCCAAAAAGCAGTATGGGACTGATTTGTCATTACTTTCTTTTAGTATTTTTTTTCAACTTTTCATCTAGATTACAACCCTGGTATTCTCTAGCACAGGGGTCTCCAACCCCCAGTCTCAGGACTGGCATCAGGCTGCGGCATGCTAGAAACCATGTCGCGCAAATAAGCAAAGCCCCATCCACGGAATGCAAGCCTCATGCAAAATCACATCCCCTCCAGTCCGTGGAAAAAAAACTCTCTCCAAGTCCCTGGTGCCCAAATGGTTGGGGGCCCCGGCTCTAGCAATCTCCCATTCAGATACTAACCGGGTCTAGCCCTACTTTTGTTTTCCAACATGAAGTACAATCAGCTGAACGTTGCTATTGCTGTGATAATAGGCATCAGTTCATTTTTGTGCCCCCCCCAATATGTCATCTAGTAGGCAAAATGAGGGCATTCTTTTTCAAAACAAATGTTTGAATTTAATTATTTTGTATGGTATTTTCACCCGAATATTAGCAGTTTGTATGTTTTGCATGCATTGTTAATGAAAACATAATCTAATTGTACTGAATCTTTGGGCATAGAATTATGCATAGTTAAACAATTGTATTCAAAAGAAACTTGTTGTAGCAGAAAGCCTGCAA